CAACCAGTTTATTGAAGCCTACAGTGTCACCGCTTAATATTAACTGTGAAGATTGTAAACAGCAATAAGAGTAGGCATTAAATTTTCACTTTTTTAATAATTCAATAAAATTATTTAGTTTATTATTGAATTTATTTGATAAACAATTACATAAATTTTTTTAATAGAAAGGCAGTTTTGATAGTAATAATAGTGACTAACGAAATGGTGAAATATGGTTGTTCTATAAAACATTTTATGAAGAATGTATAACACTTGGTTTTTTCTGCTACATAATATCAAACGATATCGAAAAATTAACCATAGTTTATCCTCCAATTCACTGTTTTGCTTTTTTAGAGCAAAATTCTCACGATTAGTTTCTGCCCAATTTTGTCGAACACCTTCTAATATATCAATTAGTTGAAAAATTTCTAAAATAAAAAAAATTTAATTTTTTTTTTTGTCATTTTCCCTTGTTCAAATGTTAACCGACAAGAAAAAAAGAACAACAATAGAATAGCTTATAAGTTTAAATAAATAACTGGTAAAAATAACCGGTGCCATATCCATTCAACAGTTGCTGATAGCATACAGTGTTGTCCACATACTGGTTTAGGACTGAACGTGAAGATGCGCTACTTAACTGGTTACCTTTTGCCATAAGTTCAGATCACTATTACAGTAGGTGCTGCTAATAGATACCTATGTGCTGATGTTTTGCTAAAATATTTATAGTTGTTGTGATAATTTTCCAAACAAGATTTTTTTTCCCCCAGCACTAAAAATTCTACTGTAACTGTGCCATCAATCAAGTAAAATTCCAGTAAAATTCCAAATTTGAAATCTAATAATCAAAAATAAAACTTAGCAGTAAAAAGTAGAAACACTTTTTGTCCGACTATTAATTATTCATTGTTATTGCTGTATTTGCAGAAAATTTATACGAATGCTAACAACGGTGTATATCGGGTGTAACAGACAGAAACAACAGTCAGATTAGATAAACAACAAAAGATCCTTACTATTTCTTTTTTTATTTCACTATCAAAGCAATAAATTATGCAATTTTTTTTCAGCTTTTTAAAGATTTTTCAATTTTTAATAAAACACAGAAAGAATGTAGAAAACAATAATCATGAAAATAAATCTGCAGCAAGGTGAGATTTAAAAATTTTGTTGTTTTCTATGTTACTTGAACATCAACTAAGTCAACAGTATCACAGCATCAGTTATAACTTTCAACAGTTAATAGCCTATTTTTCCTTTTTTTTTTTTTTAAATTATTTAAAAAAATTGAGTAACCCTTATGAGACTTATTGCTGAGAATAAAAGACCAAAAGAAACGATCAAACGACAACGGTCGTCTATGTTCGTCCATTTAACACCTGAAAAGTTCAACATTTCTACAAATACTACAGTTGGAAAAGAAGGTAAAAAGACAGCAAAGTGAAGAAAAAAAAAAAAGCCGAACAAAGTGGCACAGTATAAAGTAATTTACTTAACAAATGGTCAAACCGCTAAACAAAAGATCAAATTTTCTTTTTTCCATTTTAAATATTCTTCAGTGTTCTGCAATTCTTAGTGTTAACAAAAGTTAACAGCAACGATAAACCACCTCCCGCCTTCCCATCACAAAAAAAAAGTTTAAATTAGACAAACTATTACAATAAAAATATACAATAAAAATCTTCTAAACATTAAATTTTCTTACTTTTAAACAAGAAAAAAAAACTAGAAAATTATTTTAAATTAAGGAAACGAAAAAGTAAACACAAAAATAAATTGCAATCTATTAACTGCATATAAAAATTTTTGTCAACAACAATAGTAATCGTATAACTGCAACAAAAACATCAAAACTTCAATTCCTTATCACCAAAACAGAAAAATGTAAAATTTAACCGGGAAAATTTTTTTCAATTTGAAAATAAATTGCATTGACAAAATCGACACATACACACATTTAAAACATTCAATTTAATGTCTGATAACGCTTAAATAGAGGACAAAAAAAAAAAAAAAAAAAAAAAAAAAAAAAAA